TGTCAGACTTCAATGCAACTTTATTACATCTGGGAGGGAAACCAGAGAGCTTCGTGCTCGCATCAAACACACGGGAACATTTAAGTCTGGCAGAAGAGCAAACACGCTTGGTGACGCTGTGATGCAAGGAGACATCTCTTTGCAAGCACATCCAAGCCATACAGGCTTTGTGGAAACAAAGCTGCTCAAAAGGGAGAATCAAAAGCCAAAGGTGATTTTACTGTCTGGGCGCGTAAAGCAGTGCTCCAGCCATGTTGCTCAACACAAGTTTGCTTTCACACCAAATAATTGTTGCGATAATGTTTAACAGTATCAAAGTGATTTGTTCAAATTATTTTTATTTATTTAATTTATATGGGGGCGGCCCCGGTAGTCCAGGGGTTAGCACGTCGACTTCACAGTGCAGAGGTACCGGGTTCAATTCCAGCTTCGGCCTCCCTGTGTGGAGTTTGCATGTTCTCCCCGGGCCTGCATGGGTTTTCTCCGGGTACTCCGGTTTCCTCACGCATTCCAAAGACATGCATGGCGGGCTGATTGAACACTCTAAATTGTCCCTAGGTGCGAGTGTGAGGGCGAATGGTTGTTCGTCTCTGTGTGCCCTGCGATTGGCTGACAACCGGTTCAGGGTGTCCCCTGCCTACTGCCCGAAGACAGCTGGGATAGGCTCCAGCACCCCTCGCGACCCTAGTGAGCATGAAGCGGTTCGGAAAATGAATGAATGAATGAATGAATAATTTATATAGCCTTCTGTTGTATTCTGCTTCTTTAAATTTGACCAGCCAGCTAGACATATCTATTTTGTTACAGTACTAACAAGCCCCCCCCCCCCAAAAAAAAAAAAAAAAAAAACACGGTACATGAAGATAAAGGGTCAAGCCCAAAACCCACAACAAATCAGTTTCATGCCAGTTTGGCCGGACATCCCTCTAAGCTGCTTCATCAGGCAAATGGCTGTGGGCCGCTAAAACATATTATGCAATTCAGCTGATTTCAATCACTAAATCCGAAACCTTAAGACACCGTCTCATCTTCAAAATGTGCTGATGTGCACCACCACCAACCCACAGGCCAACTCACTTTTTTGAATGTCATAACTGCATCGAATATTAGCGCTTTGTGCCGCACACCTCCAAGCCACCAGAGTCCGATTATTCTACAGAAACTGCTTGATGCTACTGACTGCAGGTTCAGCGTTTCATCTCTTCTGTTCACAAATTATCCGATCATGGATGACAGGAGACAATATCCTGTGCAGCGCACAATTCAGACCCCCCACTGTGAGTTCCTGTGTGGGTTTCTTCAGGCTATTACAGGTACACACAGTCCAGTTCAGAATCATCCTAGCCATCGAGGGATTGGGGAAAGAAGGAAAGGGCAGAATCCTGTTTTTTTTTTTTCGGGGGGTGGGGAGGGTGTTCCAGGTTTTAACCCAAATAACCAAGAAGACTGCGACGACTGTCAGTATGAAGATAAGAGAGGAGTCGATCCACGTGCATCAAGTTCAAGGCTGTGTGTGATTCAATGACTTGCACACAACGACTTCAGTGTGACAATGTGAAGTATTTCGCACTGCTCGCGAAGGGTGGGGTGGGGGACATTATATTTATTTCTGCTTGGGTCTTTGAAAGTGAAAAGCTTAAAAATATTTGCACATAACAAAACATTCATAAGAACCAAAGTACTTCTTATCTCTGTGCTGCACTTCTTTCTTGGGGAAGACTTTGAATCTTTTGGCTGCAACTTTTAAAACCAGAGGTATTTAGCATGACCAGCGATTCCCAACAGATGCAGTAGCTATGTCACACCCTGCAGAGTTTGAGTGACAGGCTGAAAAAGCGCTGTTGAAGCGGTCAGAATACCAAAATTAACATTATTGCTACTTAAGAATGTTAATGCATGTACCATTTATATCATCTGGAAAGATGCTCATTATGCGGTGGACTTTCTATTCACAAGAGAAGATCATCTCCTGGGAACTTAGCTTCACTTAACTAAATTGAATGAAATTCAGGAAATTAAAATACCACTTCTGAAATACTGAAATGGCCCTCTGGGGAGTCACTTGAGGAACTCATGACTAAAGTAGTTATTTAAATTTAAAGCACACAAAAAAATCTGGTGGAACCACGAATATTAGAAATCATGGACCACCTTAGTGACTAATTTAAACCAACAGAATACATTCCATGCCAAAATGAATGTGATAAATATAAAATACACTTACTTCCTACTACTACAACTAATGTTTGTTCTGACAAAATTACTTTTTTCCTGCATGTACTGTTCAACGTGAGTTGCCAAGACATCAAATGAAAGAAGCTAAAAGGAACATATTGGCTCTGCAAAGTCATCATTATTCAGACAAAGAAGGTCTGGGTATGTCCACTTCAAAATATCAAATATTTATTCGATACACCTATGTTTTTGAGTAACAGCTGCCGATGCACTTTCAGTCATGAATTGAAATTGAAAAACAACCAAACACGAATATAAAATGAAAGCACTCACAGGGAGCAAGGAGCAGACGCTAACGCTGAACTAATCCAATGGTAAATGAATGGCCATCCAGTGTGTGGAAGGATCTATTAAGCATCCCGAAGTGAAATACAAATCATCCAGTTTAGAGAACATTAGAAGATTGTTCAACACAAAAAGTTCCGTCAAGCAACACAACATCGCTTTCACATTGAGGGCTTCATTCCTCTGCCTAACAATGACCTCTGGCTTGTGCGTTTGCACGGGGACCCACATCCCTGCAGATCGCATCAACATCAGCTGTGTTTGTATTCATGTGTTTTATAGAAACGATAAGCTGCAAAGTAGCTTCGGGCATTGAGGTATAGATGTGTATATCTCTACTCACTGTCCATAACATTGAGGGTGGTTGCATCTGAATGAGGGCATGCATAAAACATGTACAACTGCCAGAGAGAATGGAAATAACAAAGTCTCAGTTTGCACTGGATTGCAGGGGCAGAGCTACGTTGTGGCCAAGGGGGGCTATGGCCACTTCTTGTCACTCTCTGGTCACCCCCACACCAAGAGGAAGACTTTGACACCGGTGACTTTTCTGCCATTTTCACATGAATGACCCCTTGAGAACCTTCTTAAACCTCTTGATACACAGCAAAATCACAGTTGATGTGAAGACAAATTTTAAAAGGATCTGCTTTAGTAGAGAACATATTATTCTTGCAGTTAATATCAGCCAAATTCTTATTTTTATATCATAGAAAGCAAACAACGTGGTTGAGAAGTCACTGCTTATCATAACACCCACAGTCCCGGTTTCTTCAAATAGACGACACACATATACCAATCTTGCACATACACTCATAATACCAACAGGAGCAAAACGATAAAAAAACAGCAACAACAACAAAAAAAATGATGTTTAAAATTGTGAAGAATTAAGAGATTTTTGTGTCACTATGGTCTTTCCCTCTCATTAGAACGAACAAGCCATCGATCAGAAGTTGTTACAAGAATGTGAAGGATGGGTGTGTGCACAATATCGCAAATACTCAACGAGGTTTTATATCATCCTGGCCACCGCATTGAAACATTTCTGGCTTTGCAACTGCTAGATTAGAACTAGAATTGAAAATGGATGGAATGTTTCTGGAAATTTCCATGGGTTATTTTGGAAATATTCCAAATCTAAACCTTTCCATGGGAATGTAAAAAGGAATTAACTAGATATTGAGTGTAATTGAATTGCAAGACATCATATTCAAGAATAAATGCTAACATTTCATTTTGTCATCGGCAGACATCCATGCAAAATAAAGAGCTCCCCTTGTCCAAATGTGAGGGTATTAGAGTACCTCAATTACTCATTCATTCATTCATTGATTTTCCGATCCGCTTATCCTCACAAGGGTCACAGGGGGTGCTTGAGCCTATCCCAACTGTCTTCGGGCAGTAGGCGGGGGACACCCTGAACCGGTTGCCAGCCAATCGTTGGGCACACAGAGACAAACAACCATCCACGCTCACACTCACACCTCGGGACAATTTAGAGTGTTCAATCAGACTGCGGTGCATGTTTTTGGAATGTGGGAGGAAACCGGAGTCCCTGGAGAAAACCCACGCAGGCCCGGGGAGAACATGCAAACTCCACACAGGGAGGCCGGAGCTGGAATTGAACCCGGTACCTCTGCACTGTGAGGTCAACGTGCTAACCACTGGACCACCGGGCCACCCCACCTCAATTACTCAATAGTAATTTTTTCCGCTTCACTCGAGAGTCGGTGTAGTAACACAAAATTTGGGCCGACGCCACAAAGCAATGGCTCATAACTTGAAAAACTCATACATTGGTCGAGTCACAAGTTAAGATACCACTGTACTTGCATGGAATCGGGTTGTTTTAGTCAGGACGATGCTAAAATATACTGCTAAGAAAAATAAAGGGAACACTTAAATTGCACAATGTGACTCCAAGTGTTTCCTGATTTTTTTTTTTTTTGTGGTTTTTATATTTCCCCAACAACACGAGGGAAACATCAACAGCAGACCTTCAATTGACTAAATTCCTTCTTTATTCCCATAAATGACCATTGATTCCCATGGAAAACTTGAAACTACAGTATCATGGAATTTTACAAGCCTTTTCACTGCATCACAGTGACTTGTTTCTCATACAGTATTTCCACTCCAACCCCATGATAAATATTATATAAATGCTTTACCTTCAATTGATTTGTGATGCATCAACTGATGGGCTCCTTGTCTTTTCTCATCCCCGTATCTATAGCATCCTGTTAAAGTTTTGTTTTCCAGCTACACTATCTTTATCTTCCCCCTCTACAAAGAATGGGTTATTTGGATTGGACATGAATGCGCAATTTCCTCACTTTGCTTCCACACAACTAAAACCGACTCCAACCATGGAGCCAATTCTTTACAAATTCACTCGAAGCAGTGACATGCGTGTAAATTGCTACTTTTGGGGGTTGTTTTTGCAATGTGAGTGCACCACCACCCAGTGCGCTTACCTTGCGCTGTCATGAGGACCAGCAGGAGAACGACGCTTGTTTTCCCGGGAAGACTCATGGATGCATCGGGCAATCTGGGACGTTCTTCGGGATTTGATTTGATGTCCTGTCAGTGATCTAATAGGGGAATCCAGCCACGCTTTAGATTAAAGAAGCATTTTTCTTTTACGCGCCGCGAAGGAGAGGTTTGGACTCGCGGTGCGCTTGACCAGGCAACTTCGGCGCCTCCCCTTCTTTCTCGATCACTCCCTCCCTCCTTGGGTCGCTCTCTCTCTCTCTCTCTGTCTCTCTCCCTATCTCTTCTCTCTCTCTCACAGCCATCGTGACTCAGAGGTGGTAAGTTCGCAGTCACGGTTTCCAAATAATGCCCGAGGACGCCCAGGGGTCTGTTAAAATGCTCAAGAAAGCGTTACGCATTTGGAGTTGCGTGCGTCTGTTGGTGTTTTTCTACCAACATGGTTGCGTTTGCGTGCGCGACAAACTAGTTGTCCACCCGATTTCCATAAAACCTTATGAGAAGTTTGGAACCATGAGGAAGTAACTAACACATCGCACAGATTCCAAGTAAGTGTCATTGGGAGCGTTTCAGGACTGTTTTATTTCACGTTCCACTGTAATATGTGCATTTAAATGGTTGGAATCCGTGAATGTTATTGGACTGAGTAACAATTTAGTTTATTATGATTTCTTGTATATAACTTTTTTTGTGTTTATCTCAAACATAAAGGTTGTTTTTTGTTTTGTTTTTTACTACTTAACTGCGCTATGAGAGAGTACTCCGACCTGCATACACGAATAGCTAAACTGGAAATGACCCATTTAGGCACTTAATTGATTTTATGCAAACTGCAATTCTTGGGCAGCTTAAAGCATTAGCAGCTCTGTAATAGAGCTGTGCAGGCTGCACTATCCATCCCAATCAAATAATGGAAAGCGATAATTGCATTGGGGCACTATGCAAAACTGCATTGGATTCATGGCTCGCCTATTGTGTCTCCTTACTGAACAATTAAGGAGTTGCTTTGTTAATGTCTGACATGGAAATCTTCAATAGGTATATGTTATGTCGAAGTGTATCGCATATGCTAAACCTGCATTTAGCTTTAAAATGAGATTCCAAGCCAACCATGGACATAATGAAGAGCAGTCCTGTATACTGTTTCATCCTAAGTAATCCAAAAACACACGACAAAACACAATTTCTGTAGGCCACCGTCCATGTGCTCGGCATAAAAACAGGCACATCTTACTTTTGGTGCCGGCCGAGTCTAAAATCTAGTCACTGTTCGGGTTTGTATGTGACCCCAATTGCACGACAACAGGCAGGTATGGTGGAAGCCAACACTTGGCATTGTTCATTAGAGTCTTTGCAATGTCACTCAGGGAGAAGCATGAAGAACCCACGGGGAAATGTCCACACAGGAAACAAAAACTGCAGGCAATGCCAACAGAGCTCACTACAGGTGGTGACGGCACAAACTTGCACTGAGGAAAGGTTTGGGAGCCAACTTATACCAGTCTAAACGAGCAGATGGGCTACAAGTGGGTGATGAGCTGGCGAGTATCAGGTGTGAGGTGCAAAGCACCCTGGCTGAGGAGGCTGCCTGGCAGGCCCCTCCCTAACAGTTTCCTTTTTAATAACCGCATTTGCAGATGCGCAGGGGGGCGTGTAAATACAAAACGCCTTCGGTCCCCGGAGCGTGAGTGTCAACCAAATTCACAAACATGTTATACTAGACTTAACCCAGCAGGAAAATTAAGATGCGTCCATTTTTAAGATAAACACAGTCTACATTCTGCGATCAAATTATCATGTGCATCGAGAGCGAGGCAGCTCCATGCGTCGGAATCCCAAGAGAGACGCAACGCAGCCCCAAACACGGTGGACTAGACTTAAGCCGGCATCGAAATGAAGATGCGGCCGTTTTTACGCCGAGCACAGGGGCACCTGCCTAAAAAAATAGGGCCTGGTAAAACTACGTCTAATTCCTGGCACAGGTGATGTAAAGAGATGTTGGTGTATTTGATTGACATGCAGGGAGACAGATTGGGCACTTCGCGGGCATGTGTGGTGGATGTCATCGCATTCCCTTCAAAAATATGATGGCAGTGTAGGACAGTCACTGAATCATGTAGAAATCAGTACATTGATGAATTACAATATTTATCATCTTAAAAATATTTTTATAACACCCCTGTCACTATTGGGGGGGGAGGGGTGCTATTAAATTACACACACACAGACGCAAAGGGTTCTCCAGTTGCCCACGTCACATGCCTTCATCTTGCAGTTGACCTGTATGAACGCAATAAGCACTATTTCAGTATCTGCAAGTCAATGTCGGCGCATGCTGTGACCTCCCTAAATTTAATGCAATAACTTTTGCTAAACTCGGTGCACTCGTCTATACCACTTCAAATTCCAAGCACGATAATAAACATACTGTTAAATGAATCCAGTACATCTGTGAATGTATGCGACAACTCTGCAGTTGTCTTCAGTCTCCATGCATGCAAGGAGACTGGAGGACAAAACAGGAAGTGACAAGGACTTATTTTTTTGTAACATTCCCTGGCAGTTAGTATGCTCTGCTCTGGATAACCCCGAGGTCAAAGCCAACATGTTGCATCCACTAACAATGTAAGGATATGCACACGAGAGGCACTTGTATTAAATTTGACACAGTGTTTGCTGCTCCATCACATCAGACAAATGTTAGTGTCACACTAGTCTCATGTGACAACTAGATCAGCGATTCCGATGCAATGTAAGCTCCTGCTCCGCTGCATTCCTGGCAGCAAGAAGAATCTTCGCACGTTTGCAGCTGGAAGGTCAGCAACCACGAATGTGACCACCAGTGAAATTGCTCTGTCCTCAATTTTAAGGGCAATTAGTTTTGTTGTTGGGAAGGCAGGTCAGTCAAGGTTGTTGTCAGGGGTCTGGGAATCGGAGGCTGCGCTGATTCCAGTTAGAGGGCTCCCGGTGGAACAAAATGGGGGGAAAAAGCGGCAAGGTACAAGAGTGGCCATAATGGCTGTGATCTCGTGCAACTCCATGCAAATACAGTAGTCAAGCCTTTTAAAGCATTTTGCATGTCATCCTCAATGTAAAGCTGTCACCTGTTATTTAATCCACACTGCCTTCAAATGGAAAACATTTCATGCCTAACAATACAGACCATTAAGTCAAAAGTCACTTTAAAAGAATATAATAATGCAGATAAAGGGTTGTTGGGATAAGGCACAAAAATGATGATGATGATGATTCTTACTTTTGTTGTTAATTGCACTTTTTTCTAATTTATTTTATATTATTTTGTTTCATAAAATGCGCAAATCTATGAGTATTCATGATATTAATACTCTGGGCAAAAGAGTACTGTTATTTATTATTAAAAAAAACCTCACTGACAACAAATATTTAGTAAATTCAGCTCACTCAGATCATTCAAGTAAAGTCACAAGTGTCAAACTCAAGGCCCTGTGGCGAGATCAGCCACGCCAATTTAGGTGGCCCACGAAAGCAAATCATGTGTGTCAGATGGGACGAGACCTGCTCGGACTCCAGACTGTTTGTCCATTAGACTTGGATGTTTTTCTACTTCCAAAGAAACTTTGTCAATTTTAAGTCAGGTCCCAGAGTATTGGTTATCTTCAACCCCCACCCTCCCCAACTCCACACCACTTCATGCACCCAGTGTCCTGTTAATATTAGAGTAGCATTCAAGAACTGGCCAGTCATGCCGATGCTGATCTAAGTGATAGTTTGAAAGCGAGCAGCTGCATGCGTAATCACATCTCGATTATCAGATGTCATGAGATGAAAGGAGCAGAACCTTAGCAATGCAGAAAATAGTCAGGTGCACCGTGAGCCTTTGACCTTCTACCCTGTCTTTTTGGTCCTTGTCTTTGTTGTTGTGTGGTCACACAAGACAGGCACGATGAAGAGTAACAGGCAAATAATGGAACAGCTCAGAGCAAGCAGAAAGACCTCGAGGCCCCGATGAAGGCGGCCGCAGGAAGCAGAAAAGGGCAAGTAGTTACATCACTGAGAGTCAGACACGACTGTCCTCGTCGTCTGCTTCAACGTGCAACTCACTGTGGTTTTCGTTCTTTATTTTTATATCTTTCTCTCATTAAGCATTTCCTCCTTCGATGCTTTCTTGTTCATGCACACGTCTACTATTATTTTGGTTGATTGTACAGGGTGTTCATAAAGTCTGTGTACATGAAAAAAAAAGCATACTTCTTAAAACAATTTTATTCAGCTGTAATGTTGATCAATTATATTTTCAACATGATTTCCATCATTTTCATAATTATTAATAAAGCATATGTATTGTCTATTATTATTTATATATCCTCTCACTTGCTGTCACTTCATCGTCGTGGAGGGGTTTGAGTGTCCCAATGATCCGAGGAGCTAAGTTGTCTGGGGCTTTATGCCTCTGGCAGGGTCACCCATGAGGGATCAGACCAAGGAGAGCTCGGAGACCTTTGATGTTGAATATGAAAAATGGATCCGGTTTTCCCTTGCCCAGATGTGGGTTACCGCGGTCTCCCTCTGGAAGCAGGCCTGGAGGCGGCGCTCGAAGGCCAGCGTCTGGGGCCGGACTGGGCTCAGCTCGAAAGGACAACGTGGGTCCCCCTTTGCATGGACTCATCACTGTGGGATGGGCCTAACAGGTCAGTTGTCAAGTGTGCGTGATGGTAGTGGACCCCAAAAAATCAGGGAGGAAAGAAAACCGGGGAACTAAATACAAACAAACTGACAAGACAACAAGGAACACCTTGACAAGATACAAAGGGTTGAGGGAGCTGATTGGTTAACACAAGGGACCCGGATGACAACAGGTTGAACCCAAACCATATGAGGAAAACAAAAAGCACACGAGGAAACAAAATCAAATGAAATCTAAACAAAAATAGAATCATAACATCGGATACGTTGTGAGCTGGGCAGCGACCACGCCTCCTTCAATGCACAGTAATACTGGCATCTTATTTCTTGCCATTCTCATTTATTCCGTTGTATATTTATATTTTATAATGTAGTGCTACTTTTCTTTGATAAAACATGCACTACAACATTATTCCCAAAAAAGAGCAGAATATAGAAATTGGAACACACAAGTGACAGCATCAAATGTATGCCTTTTTCATCCATGTGCAAGACTTGACCTATAACCCCACAATCTAAACCTTCTTCAGCCTACTCGCTCTAATCCCAACACTCCACTGTCACCACTTTCTGATGACCCATTTAAAAGAAAGCTCTCAGCATCTTTTCTCTTGTCCTGTTCTGTCAGTCACCCTGTGACCCTCAACCTTAAGGGAAGCCACTTCCCCCCTTTCCTTCCCTCTCCTAACCGCTTCCTCCTCTCCCATCACATTCCTGCGGCAGTAACTCCACTGCTTCATTTATTCCATCTATCCCATCCTGACTAACTGCTGTCTGTGCAGCCATTTGGTGGCCTCCTGCAGCCACTAGTGGCGGATACTTACTCCTGCTTGAATGGCAAAGCTCTTAATTAAATCATGTTGGTTCCCACAAGGCTTTCGGAAGCACACATTCGGTGATGTTTCTAATGTCACAGTTTGACACTCTTGAACAACACTCATTTCACTTTAAAAGAGCAAAGAAAGCTTCACTTTGTCGATATTTAATGCAATGCAGCAACCGACACTTACTGGATAATAAATACGACACTAAACTTCCAACTATGCCATTTGAAATAATATATTAGTTCCTTATAGACATTGAAAAAAATAAGGTCTTTACATACTCTAAATACAAATTCTATGATGTAGTTAGTGGACGGGCAGACGGACAAACAGTGGAGCAACACATGTAAAGAGATAATATAAAAATACTCATAAGCATATCATCTTTATGCTCTGCAGAAACTCTTATTTAGAGCATCTTACTGAGTCACTTATAGTAGTAGTGGAAGAAGGTCATGGAATGAATTAAACACATTTCTCAAGACCCCACTGTATTGTATATCCATCCATCCATTATCTGATCCGCTTATGTTCACGAGGCTCGTGGGTGTGATGGAGCCGATCCCAGCCGTCCTTAACTAGCAAAATGCATTTTTACTTTTGTACACAAGTACATTAAATAATCCCTACTTTTTTTTCTTTTTATTGAAGTCCAAGAGCTGAATCAGCAAATCATTACTTATAAGAGTCTTTTATAGTTGTACTTCTACTTCGATACAGAGTGTGATAACTTCTGCTGCCTCCGTTTATTGTTTTGCCAGGTCTTCTGATATAAAAGAGAACGCTGCAATGACGCCAACAACCACTAGCGAGCAGCATCAAGAACTTAAACCCCTGAGGGAAAACGACTTGAGGGAAAATTTATGACTCAATAAGAAACATTACGGAGTTACCTCTGGGGTCATTTTGAACCTGCAATAAGGTTTTCACCATCCTTGGTCTACCCCCTGTACTCAACGTCTGGGCCTGCAGGATGAATGAGCCCCTGATGCAGATGTGTGCTCGCCTCACATTCTCTAATGCAGTTACATAGTGCATAAATATTGACCGGGGTGCTGAAATGGCATGGATAAATCGTAACGGTCCTGCAGAAGATAATGGGTAAGATGGACGGCATC